AGGCAAAACTTGTATTCACACAATGCACAGTTTAGACGAGAGACATAAACATATAGTGCAACAGTTCTCAAAGTGTGGTCCAGGGATCACTAGACCATTTTAGGGGGTCATCAGTGTTAAAGTGTTGTTTTATAATAATAATAACAACATGTTGATTTACCTTTTTTATTCTCATTTTCTCACGAGTGTAAAATGTACAAAAATTCATTGATAAAATTTCAAATTTTATATTGCAGCTAAACTCCCACTTATCAAGTTTTGTAGTATCAAAGAATATTCACAATTATTTAATAAGGCTATTAAAATATTCCTTTCTTTCCCACTAAAATTTGTGTGAAGATAGATTTTCTTTATACTTAAACCATTACAACATATCACATCAAATTGAATGCAGAAGCAGAAATGAGAATCCAGCTGGTTTCTTTAATCCACATAGAAAGGAATCTGTAATAATGTAAACATAACACTTTTTTCACTACTTTTAGGAAAATATAATTATTGTTCATTAAAATGTGTTGTTTATATTAACATGCAATGGATTTATTGTTATTTTTAAACAATTTTTTTTACATTTCAGTTTTAATTTTTAGTAGGTTAAATATTAATAAATAAAACCCACATAAACTAAAACTTTGGAGTTCTATTATTTTTCTGAGTATAAAGGTGTCCTGAGACCAAAATATTGGAGAACCGCTGATACAGTTATTATAAATATAGCCTGTGTAGAATGGTTTTATTAGTTAACTTGGGGCTTTTTTTTTCACTGCTGACTTCTTGGAGAGGGTGGTGGAGGCGAGGAAATTTATTACATTGTAATAGTAAAGATTGTTACATAGTAATAGTAACTAGAATAGATTTTGTTGCCTGGAAGTGACATGAAAGTCATAACAAAACATAACATAATAACATAAGCAAAATATGTGACATTGCCTCTGCAACTAGAGGAAGCAGCAAGGGTAGGAGAGGAACCTAAAGAATGTTAGCAGAAGCTTAAAAGGCCTTGAGGAGGCTGTTCAACCAGGGCTTAAAGGGAGCTAAGGAAGAAGTTATTGGAAGCTAGAGAAAGGCGACCTTGTTATGTTGTGCCCAGGCTTTGGGAGTTTGGCACAGGCTTTGTACAGCAGACCCAAACCATCCCCACTGTGCTCTTTCTGAATTCCTGACCCACAGAATCCATGAGCATAATAAAATAAATGCTCTTTTTCACCATTAAACTTGGAGTGGTTTTTTTATACAGAAATATTAACTGGAATAGGTGAAACAAAACAAAAAATGTTAAGTATTTTGAGTTGCATAAATATGATCCCTTCAATTGTTTAAACAATGTTGTTACCTAGTGTGTTTCCAGAATTTAACTACATTATAATAATCACCTCCCAATGTTGCTCTGCACACTTTTATCTTGGGTTTCCCACCCAAATGCCACCCTTAGCTTAATGCTGTTCAAGTAAAAGCAACAAAATTCCACCGAACTTGCATTCAGACCCAGTTTTTCAAATTTCTAACCTGCATTGGGTGTGGTAGCCATGAGGTCCTTTGAAATATTAAGAATGAACAGTTATCTATCTAATCAATTCACTCAAAATATTAAATATGAAAGAAAGGTCTCTACAGTCAATCTCCTTTAGGAAAAATCTTGTTGCCTCTCTCTTTCTCTACCCATCTCTCCCAAAATTCACCAGCCAGCTGAGGAATTGCTTCCTTTGTCTCTAATAATCATGTCTGCTGCATCTTGATTTTTGTGCCCTAGGTAGGCCCCCTCTGTCTTGGTTCTCTGGGAGCCTCCCTCCATTTGCTATTCCTAGAAAACATTATTACTTTAAAACGTGTCAGAAATGTCGCATAACAGCAGTGAGCAGTGTATTACTCCATTTTCTTTGCTTATAGCTGACTACCTGAAACTGGGTAATTTATAAGGAATGAAATTTATTTTTTACAATTTTGGAGGCTGGGAAGTCCAAAGTCCAGGGAACACATCTGGTGAGGGCCTTTATCTTGGTGCAGAGACTTGGTGGAGACACAGAATATAACAAGGTGAGACAGGTTGAACAAGAGAGCTGATGGAGTTTGGATGTACTGTCCTCCCAGAACTCATGTGGAAATCTGATCCCCAATGTGGCAGTGCTGGAAGCTGTTTGAGTCATGGAGGTGAATCCTGCGTGAATAGATTAATGCTCTCCCTGGGGGGTGGGAGTAGTGAGTGAGTTCTCACTCTGTTAGTTCCTGCAAGAGCTGGTTGTTTAAAAGACCCTGGCATCTCTCTCT